TACACTCACCTGTAGTCTACACTCACTTGTAGTCTACTCACTTGTAGTCTACACTCACTTGTAGTCTACACTCACCTGTAGTCTACACTCACTTGTAGTCTACACTCACCTGTAGTCTCACTCACTGTAGTCTACACTCACTTGTAGTCTACACTCACTTGTAGTCTACACTCACCTGTAGTCTACACTCACTTGTAGTCTATACTCACCTGTAGTCTACACTCACTTGTAGTCTACACTCACTTGTAGTCTACACTCACTTGTAGTCTACACTCACCTGTAGTCTACACTCACTTGTAGTCTACACTCACCTGTAGTCTACACTCACTTGTAGTCTACACTCACCTGTAGTCTACACTCACTTGTAGTCTACTCACTTGTAGTCTACACTCACCCTTTTAGTCTACACTCACCCGTAGTCTACACTCACTTGTAGTCTACTCACTTGTAGTCTACATCACTTGTAGTCTACACTCACTTGTTTGTCTACAAATTTACTTGTAGTCTACACTCACTTATCAACACTCACTTGTAGTCTACACTCACTTGTAGTCTACACTCACTTGTAGTCTACACTCACTCGTAGTCTACACTCACTTATCAACACTCACTTGTAGTCTACACTCACTTGTAGTCTACACTCACTTATCAACACTCACTTGTAGTCTACACTCACTTGTAGTCTACACTCACTTGTAGTCTACACTCACTTATCAACACTCACTTGTAGTCTACACTCACTTGTTGTCTACACTCACTTGTAGTCTACACTCACTTGTAGTCTACACTCACTTGTAGTCTACACTCACTTGTAGTCTACACTCACTTATCAACACTCACTTGTAGTCTACACTCACTTGTAGTCTACACTCACTCGTAGTCTACACTCACTTATCAACACTCACTTGTAGTCTACACTCACTTGTAGTCTACACTACTGTAGTCTACACTCACTTGTTGTTCACTTTACTTATCAACACTCACTTGTAGTCTACACTCACTTGTAGTCTACACTCATTATCAACACTCACTTGTAGTACACTCCCCTTGTAGTCTACACTCACTTGTAGTCTACACTCACTTATCAACACTCACTTGTAGTCTACACTCACTTGTAGTCTACACTCACTTGTAGTCTACACTCACTTGTAGTCTACACTCACTTATCAACACTCACTTGTAGTCTACACTCACTTGTTGTCTACACTCACTTGTAGTCTACACTCACTTGTAGTCTACACTCACTTGTAGTCTACACTCACTTGTAGTCTACACTCACTTATCAACACTCACTTGTAGTCTACACTCACTTGTAGTCTACACTCACTTGTAGTCTACACTCACTCGTAGTCTACACTCACTTATCAACACTCACTTGTAGTCTACACTCACTTGTAGTCTACACTCACTTGTAGTCTACACCACTTGTAGTTTCACTCATATCAACCCCTCACTTGTAGTCTACACTCAATTGTAGTCCCACACTCACTTTTTAGTCTCACTCACTTATCAAAACTCACTTGTAGTCTAAACTCCTTGTAGTCTACACTCACTTGTAGTCTACCTCAAATTGTAGTCTACACTCACTTTCAACACTCACTTGTAGTCTACACTCACTTGTAGTCTACACTCACTTGTAGTCTACACTCACTTGTAGTCTACACTCACTTGTAGTCTACACTCACTTATCAACACTCACACTGTGAGTGTATTTTGTCTTCAAATAAAATATATATAAAATATAGGGGGTGGTAGGAGAAAATTCTCAAACAGCTTCAGGGAGAATCTTGAGTTTTCCCTGAAGCAAGTTTATTCTTTTCTCTGAGGATGAGGGTCCCCATGACAGTTCTAGAGGTGGTACCTCCCTATTTTATATGTGTGTGTGTGTGTGTGTGTGTGTGTGTGTGTGTGTGTGTGTGTGTGTGTGTGTGTGTGTGTGTGTGTGAACTTGAGGACGCACATGGGTGATATATACATTATAAGATATTTAACATGCTTACAAATTATTATTATTATTATTATTATTATTATTATTATTATTATTATTATAAAATAAGAAGCGCTATACCACAAAGGCTATACAGCGCTGCACATGTTTACAAAGGTTCGTTACATATGTCGTTAATCTTAACGACTCAACATACCAGGTAAGTTAACTAGTTTCACAACTACACAAGCAAAACTGTGTTACCACTGTTTCACTGTTACAATGTATCAGCAACAGTGTGTTACCACTGTTTCACTGTTACAATGTATCAGCAACAGTGTGTTACCACTGTTTCACTGTTACAATGTATCAGCAACAGTGTGTTACCACTGTTTCACTGTTACAATGTATCAGCAACAGTGTGTTACCACTGCTTCACTGTTACAATATAGTAGCAACAGTGTGTTACCACTGCTGCACTGTTACAATGTATCAGCAACAGTGTGTTACCACTGCTTCACTGTTACAATGTATCAGCAAAAAGTGTTTACCACTGCTTCACTGTTACAATGTATCAGCAACAGTGTGTTACCACTGCTTCACTGTTACAATATAGCAGCAACAGTGTGTTACCACTGGTTCACTGTTACAATGTAGCAGCAACAGTGTGTTACCACTGCTTCACTGTTACAATGTAGCAGCAAAAAGTGTGTTTCCCCTGTTTCACTGTTACAATGTTTTCAGCAACAGTGTGTTACCACTGCTTCAATGTTACAATATAGCAGCAACAGTGTGTTACCACTGTTTCACTGTTACAATGTATCAGCAACAGTGTGTTACCACTGTTTCACTGTTACAATGTATCAGCAACAGTGTGTTACCACTGTTTCACTGTTACAATATAGCAAACAACAGTGTGTTTACCACTGCTCCACTGTTACAATATAGCAGCAACAGTGTGTTACCACTGCTTCAATGTTACAATATGCAGCAACAGTGTGTTACCACTGTTCACTGTTTTCAATTTTAGCAGCAACAGTGGTGTTACCACTGCTTCACTGTTACAATGTAGCAGCAACAGTGTGTTACCACTGTTTCCCCTGTTACAATGTAGCAGCAACAGTGTGTTACCACTGTTTCACTGTTACAATGTATCAGCAACAGTGTGTTACCACTGCTTCAATGTTACAATGTAGTAGCAACAGTGTGTTACCACTATTTCACTGTTACAATGTATCAGCAACAGTGTGTTACCACTGCTTCAATGTTACAATGTATCAGCAACAGTGTGTTACCACTGCTCCACTGTTACAATGTATCAGCAACAGTGTGTTACCACTGCTTCACTGTTACAATGTATCAGCAACAGTGTGTTACCACTGCTCCACTGTTACAATGTAGCAGCAACAGTGTGCTACCACTGCTTCACTGTTACAATGTAGCAGCAACAGTGTGTTACCACTGCTCCACTGTTACAATGTAGCAGCAACAGTGTGTTACCACTGCTCCACTGTTACAATGTAGCAGCAACAGTGTGGTTACCACTGCTCCACTGTTACAATGTAGCAGCAACAGTGTGTTACCACTGCTCCACTGTTACAATGTAGCAGCAACAGTGTGTTACCACTGCTCCACTGTTACAATGTAGCAGCAACAGTGTGTTACCACTGCTCCACTGTTACAATGTAGCAGCAACAGTGTGTTACCACTGCTCCACTGTTACAATGTAGCAGCAACAGTGTGTTACCACTGCTTCACTGTTACAATATAGCAGCAACAGTGTGTTACCACTGCTCCACTGTTACAATATAGCAGCAACAGTGTGTTACCACTACTTCACTGTTACACTGCTTCACTATCACTGTTGATGACTACATCGTCAAATAATGATAATACAGTAGTGAGACTTCACTACTGTTAACCATCACTCACTGTAGTTCACTGTTGGACACCATCAGAACACACACACACACACACACACACACACACACACACACACACATTTACATTAATCTTATAAGAAATGGCTTAGATTTTAGATTTCATCATCTAAGCGGCTAGTGTATTGTGGATGGCAGCGCAAGATCATACGTATACACAAAAGGCCTAGTAACTAGGCCTCAAAAGGGCTTACCAGAGTATATATGGATTTATATTTACGCTTCACTCATCTATTACAAGCAAATTTAGTAAATTTCCTTAATACGTCTGGTATTTTATTTTCATTAATAAGATATCTTGACTTATCACATAGGTTATTATACTATCTATCTCTATATTCCTCACAAAAGTGGACAACTAAGCACATAGTGTTCAAGACAGTGACCACAGGGTTGGTCACATACTTTGTATTTAGTTTGGTCATCATCTGTGTGTCTTCCAAACTGCCAGAAGTACTTGTAACCAAGTATTAGACTGGCTAATACATCAGTCATTCCTTGTAACCAAGTCTAAGACTGGTTACTACATCAGTCAGTACTTGTAACCAAGTCTAAGCCTGGTCACTACATCAGTCAGTACTTGTAACCAAGTCTAAGACTGGTTACTACATCAGTCAGTACTTGTAACCAAGTCTAAGCCTGGTCACTACATCAGTCAGTACTTGTAACCAAGTCTAAGCCTGGCTACTACATCAGTCAGTACTTGTAACCAAGTCTAAGCCTGGCTACATCATCAGTCGGTACTTGTAACCAAGTCTAAGCCTGGCTACATCATCAGTCGGTACTTGTAACCAAGTCTAAGCCTGGTTATTACATCAGTCAGTACTTTTAACCCAGCGTAAGTCTGGCTACAACATCAGTCAATACTTGTAACCAAGTCTAAGACTGTTTACAACATCAGTCAGTACTTGTAACCAAGTCTAAGACTGGCTACAACATCAGTCAGTACTTGTAACCCAGTCTAAGCCTGGCTACAACATTATTCAGTACTTGTAACCCAGTCTAAGCCTGGCTATAACATCAGTGAGTACTTGTAACCAAGCCTAAGCCTGGCTCTTACAATCACTCCGTTCACATCGCAAGGAAATGTAGTAGTTGTACCGAGGGAGTACTGGAGGAAGTAAGGTACTGACCTGGTGTCCAGCCTCGCTGTTGAGAGCCATGGATGATGGATGACACTGACATGACAGGTTTCTCCTTCTTGATGACGATCATGATGGTGGTGGATTAGTGTCAGCTGGTGATGGATGAGTGTCAGCTGGTAGAGGAGTGTCAGGAGGCAGTGGTGCAGGTGTAGAAAGTCTACACCACACCAGGTGTAGGCATCACCACAACACTTACTGTAATACTAGGGGCCCACAACACACTCGCTGAAACGCCACCAGGGGCCCAAAGCACTCAGTATAACAGCACCAGGGGCCCACAACACTCAGTTTAACTCCACTAGGGGACCACAACACTCAGTGTAACACCACTAGGAGACAACCTCCACTAGGGGCCCACTCTGTGGCCACGAAGGTGGCCACTCTCTATACTTCAATATGGGCCAGTGTGTAGGCCAGGTAACACTGCACACCCCCAGCAAGGAGCGTCTTACACTGCACTAACGTATAATGCCACTCAATAGCACTCTAATATGCTCGTCACACCCCCTCTCAGTACGTTCACTCAGATGCTTGAGTTCCACACCCAACAGAGAGAGTGGTTATCGTGCTACACAGAGTGGTTATCGTGTTACACAGAGTGGTTATCGTGCTACACAGAGTGGTTATCGTGTTACACAGAGTGGTTAGCTTGTAATCTATAATCTGAAACTTTGTTATCAACTGCAATGGAAAAAAATATCGTCGTTAGGACAGCAGTGGGACGTTGAGTTCAGCAGATGACACAAACATATCTGACCCGCACCCACACCTGTACTTCCGCCCACACCTGTACTCCCGCCCACACCTGTACTCCCGAAAGCACTGTATTCCCGCCTACACCTTCAATTAAACCCACGCTGCCTTCTTATTCTTGCCTCGCAGCGCAAACTCACTAAAATTAGCTGTGATTGACACACAAGAGCTGTGAATCGACCCCTGCAACCACAACTAGGTGAGTACACACTCACACACTCTGGAGAGTGATGTAGTGGAGGCAGGATCCATACATAGCTTTAAGAAGAGGTATGATAAAGCTCATGGACCAGGGAGAGAGTGGACCTAGTAGTGACCAGTGAAGAGGCGGGGCCAGGAGCTATGAATCTACCCCTGCAACCATAATTAGGTGAATACACATACCGGCACTTCCCCTGTCAACCCTGCAGAGTACGCAACTTGCGCAGGTGCGGCGCAGATGAGCGCTAAGGGAGTGATCACAACTTGTTCGATCTCAGGGCGGAGAGTAGATGAATGACGTGGAGGGCGCAGTGAACACAGCGTGAACGCAATAAACGCCAGCGTAGCTTGTTTACGTGTGTGAGCAACGGCGGCGGCGAGCAACGGCGGGTGGCGGCAAGCGTGGTGTGGGCCGCCAGACCCCAGTGTTGTTATGGTTACCTTGTCACCAGGGAAACCAGCCACGGCATACTTACTAATACTACCCCCTCTGTCTGTCTGTTTGTCTGTCTTTCTGTTTGTCTGTCTGTCTCTCTCTCTCTCTCTCTACTTGTTCATCGGCTGCTGCAGCCGCAGCAAGCAGCAACAAGGCTGCTCCTATATCTTGCCGTCCCCTGGGTCTATCCGAACTCCAGTGATGGCCAAATTGCAAGTACTGCTGCAACAACATACAAGGAACCTATAGTGACATAAAAACTGACGGTGACGACAACGAAATGGACTAAATATGACAAAAGAGGGACCGGCATTCAAGAACCAGACCTGACGTTTTCCGCTACAATGAAATAACTGACCTCCATATTAACTGCACCAGTGTTCAACGGGAAGACAACATGGCAGAAAACCTGATCAACAAAAGTCCAAGGAAATGACAGGTCTGTAGGACTTTTTTCCCCTCAGTGCCAAACGAGGGAAAGAATTGAACATTTAAACATGGCTGACCGGCATCCAAACACCAGCTACTGCCAGACGTACAACTAGCGAAGTGAAATTCTCTTCTTTACTGACGTTCATCTGTACTGACAGCAGCATCATATCTGTACCACCATCATATCACCTGTACCAGTGCTAACGAGAGGGAAACACAGGAGACATCGTCAAATCAACAGTACAAAACTCCAAAGTTATAGGACGGTTATCCCTCAGTGCTAGTCGTGGGAAAGAAGTGAATAGTTAAACAGTCAAGGTTAATGTTTTAGTAGCTGACCTATATTTAGCTGACCAGTGTACAGTGAAAGAATCATAGCAGAAAACGCCAAATATATCTATAAACTCAAGGAAAGTCAGGTTGTAGGTGGCGTTTACTTCCCTCAGTGTTTTAAAAATGGCCGAGTCAGCAGACCAGGTCAGGCAGTCAACAACACGACACAATCCCTGATAAATGGAATTGAGGGGGATTTGGAAGGATAAAACCATTGATTAAACCTTTCTGGTCTACCAGAATGGAAAGGAGTTAGAAGTTAATTGAGGAAGCCAGACTGTGAAGTGAGGCAGGAAGGGGAGTGTGTAATAAGGGGTTAACTGAAAGGGGTTTGTGAAGTTAAGGGAAAAGTGAGCAGTGAAGAGGGTTTTGAAGAAGAAAATTTACTAGTAATTCAGTGGTGATTGCCAAAGCAGATACTAAGTGTACTAGGGACTGGAAAAGAGAAATAAATATTATTGTATATGAGTAAAAGAGCGAAGAGTGAAAATGGCAGGCATTATGGGGGTACAGGCTGCCATAATTATATTTATATTTCTTCTTCAACTCCATGAAGAAAGAAATCAGTCATGGGGGCTGGAAAAGGTGAATGGAGTAACAGCGCCCTGGACAGTAAAAGCCCAACAGTTGCCATCTTACCAGAAAAGTAAATGTCACTATCGCCGCAAGGTATGGCAACACCGCATACCCAAACAAAAACAGTGGCACACAGCTCTTATTGTAGCGCTCTTAAGTGGTGATATCCAAATTAATCCAGGACCTCAAACTATTGTGCAGAGGCAAAACAGACAGATAAATGACGGCGATAATGACGGTCTAGTAGCTAGGAAAGATAACCTTAACTCCATATGTAATGCATACATAGGTCAATGTGAGACAATACAGCCATTATTATCTCAAACACTACCAAACAGGTGCATACACTGTACTAAAGTACGCATGAAAAACAGAAAATGCACCTTATGTAAAATGTGTAAGGGGTGGGTGCATGATGGATGTATGTACAATTATAACAACGGTGCCAGAATTCACTTTGTGTGTAACAAATGCACTTTGGCACAGTTACCCTTTAGCAGTGATGACATTGATTTACCTAATTTTAATACATATGACCCAATGCCATATATTGATGATTATAATTGTTTTATGAAAACAGGCCTTCACTTTATTCATGTCAACGCAAGATCACTTCTTCCTAAATTGGCAGAGATTAGGATTCTAGCTAACAAAATTAGGGCGGCAGTTATATCCATCTCTGAATCTTGGTTGGATGATACGGTGACTGACGACGAGGTCAAAATAGAAGGTTACAATATAAAACGCTTAGATAGGAACAGAAAGGGTGGTGGAGTATGTGCCTACATTAGAAATGACTTAGCTTACAACCCTAGACCTGATTTAAATAACAATACACTGGAGATTCTATGGTTTGAAGTGCTGCTTCCCAATTCTAAACCCATCTTAGTAGGAACTAGTTACCGCCCTCCTACCCAGGACCAGTTCTTAGAAGACTTTTCCAGAGTCTTGTCCGGACTTGAAAACAATTGCGAGACAATAATACTGGGAGACTTTATTATCTGTTTTCAGCAGCAAAATAACGGGTTATGCAAAAGGTATAAGCAAATTCTAGGTTTAAATAGTTACACTCAACTAATTAATACACCAACCCGGATCACACAGTTCTCAGCCACCCTAATTGACCACATACTTTGTAACCGCTCTGAGAACATTAGTCAGTCAGGCGTCATTACCACAGGTCTTAGTGATCATTTCATCATTTACTGCACCAGGAAAATCACCAGGGATAGGATAGGCCTACACAGGACAATAAAAATGAGGTCAACTAGAAACTACAGTAAAGAAACACTGGTAAATAGGCTACACAATTGTGACTGGACAGAGATAACAAGTTGCATGGACGTAAACGATGCCTGGGAAAATTCAAAACAATGTTCACTACCATCCTTGATAATATTGCACCAGTTAAAGAGGTTAGGATTAAACGAAGAACTGAACCCTGGATGACTACTGAGATATTAGATAATATGAAATTCAGAGACCAGCTACTAAAAAATTTAAAGCAAACAGACAGGATATTGCAGCACTAAATGAATTCCAAAGGTGAGGAACAGAGTACAGAGACTTATAAAAGGGGCAAAGGCAAAGCACTATTGCTCAAGAATTGAAGAGTATAAGCATAGCCCCAGAAAGCTCTGGCAACAACTAAAACAGTTGGGGTATAGCCATAAGCCAGTAGATAGGTCTAACATAGTACTCACTATCGATAATGAGGTATGCCACGAAACATCTAAGGTGGCAAAATTGCTTTAATTCCTACTACACATCTGTTGCATCAACACTAGTAAGTAAACTACCAGCTGCATCAAATACCTTTAACACAGACTCTGATAAGTTTCAAACATAGTATACCAATAAAGGGGTAACCCCAAACAGTTGCCAACTAGTAAGTGTATCTCATGACTTTATTCAAAAAGAACTAAGCAGGTTAAACCCAACTAAGAGCACTGGCCCTGATAACATCCCGTCTAAGTTCCTAAAAGATGGTGCTTCTGAACTGTCAATCCCTATTGCTCACATAATAAATCTATCAATCACCACTAATACCATACCGGAGGGGTTCAAGGAGGCCAGAGTTACTCCTATCTTCAAGAAAAATAATAGGTCTGATGTAAGCAACTATAGGCCTGTTAGTATACTCAGTATAATATCCAAAATTCTAGAGAGGGCGGTGTACTCTCATGTAGTTAAGTACCTTAATGACAACAACATTCTCCATAGCTATCAATCGGGCTTTAGAAGATCTTACTCAACCGACACCTCCCTAATTAATCTGATGGATTACCTGAGAATTGAAATGTCAAAGGGGAACCTCATAGGTATGGTAACCTTAGACCTGCAAAAGGCCTTCGATACTGTCAACCACAATATATTATGTAAGAAACTTCGAGCTATCAGTATAGGTTCTGTAGACTGGTTTAAGTCCTACCTTAGCAACAGGAGACAAATTGTCAAAATCAACAAAACGGAATCAGAACCCCTGCCGATAGCATGTGGAGTTCCCCAAGGTAGTATTCTGGGTCCCTTATTATTCTTATGTTATGTCAATGACATGCCTATCAGTGTCAAGTGCAAACTCCTACTGTATGCAGATGACAGTTCTCTGTTAGTGTCAGGTAAAGACCCACAAGATATTGCTAATGTTTTAACACTGGAACTGGATTATTATTATAATCAAAAAGAAGCGCTAAGCCACAAGGGCTACCTGGAACTGGAGTCCTGCAGCAAATGGTTAGTAGACAACAAACTATCATTACACCTCGGGAAAACTGAAGCCATTCTCTTTGGCACGAAAGAAACTGAGAAGGGTAAATAATATTAATGTCCAGTGTAATGGGGAACCCATCACTTTGGTTTTATCAGTAAAATATCTGGGAATCCCCTTTGACCCATGCATATCAGGAGAATTGACAGGGAACAGTTTAGTAAAGAAAGCGAATGCCAGACT